AACCTAAAAATAACAAAAAAGTTAAATTCACATCCAAAATGCTGTTTTTTGGCCCCATTGAATATGACCGCCTATCCGAAAATGGCGAATATAGCTAATATTTTACCCATTTTGGTTATATTTTGAAAAGAGATAACAAAACATTTTGGATGTGATATTTTTTGGGTCTTTTACATTCAAAAGACATACTTTTATGTTATAGCATATCTCAGTTGTCCATAAACACCACTATTTTACTTTCCAAGTTGGCATTTCTGTGCCATATGAAAAGACATACAACTGAAACTTACCAGTCTCTCATATAAACAATCCAAATCATTTTCAAGTTTCAACATCACTGATTTTACCTTCATATCTTTGTGACAGTGTCATTGTTGTATAAATAATGTTCCATTATTCTCTTAGTATGCACAATTGTGCATTCTGTTGAAACTCTAGCACTTTTTTGGCATAACTTCTGCAGTGTAAACATAAAATGTCGACCAACAAAAGTTTGTAGAATAAATACGAAATGGCAGCCATGTTTTATACCAATATACTATGTGTTACATGAAGTGTAAGGCAGGTGAGCTACGAGATATGAGCCTGCAGTATAGTTTTGAAAACACAATATTTACTTTGAAAATCATGGCAATCATTTATATGGATTGTATGCAAATATTTTACTCTCATTTGGAACTGAATTTCTGGTACGAAAGTGTTCAATATACAGGGTGTATCAAAAAAAGTAAGACAATTTTGAAATTGCTCTCAATTCCACAATTCTGTTCATGAAATGTAATTTTTTATATGTATGGATTGCTTGAGTTCTTAAATTATGGAAAATATAAAAAAATTTGAAAATAGTAAATTTTGTTATCCAGGGGGGTGGTCAACTTTTGCTCTCCTAAAAGTGGCTTGCGCACGGAAATGACAAACGGTATTCTTTATTTGAGGTCATGTATGAAAAGTTCGCTATTTGTTGCATTTATGATAAAATTTCGGCAGGATTTTACCGAGTACAAATCCTACGAAAAGCCTATGAAAACGTTACATTTTTCTCTGTTGGTGCTGTTCTTGCTTCATTATGAATTCATTTTTACTCCCATGAGAGTTCCGTGGAATTTCCATGGAATTTGTGCTTTCGAGTTGTTTGTGCTGAAACGCATTCTCTCGTATAATACCCCGTACACTTTGAAATGGCGATGCCACAATTTACCCCGCAGCAGAGAGCTTTTATGCATGGTATCAGAGTTCCTCCGTAGCAACAACATAAACTTGGTTCGCCAAAGTTTCACGAAAGAATATCCAGATGTACGATGCCCTTCACGTGCGAATACGTGAAGGGCATCGTACATCTGGATATTGGGAGTAAAAATGAATTCATAATGAAGCAAGAACAGCATCAACGGAGAAAAATGTAAAGTTTTCATAGGCTTTTCGGAGGATTTGTACTCGGTAAAATCCTGCCGAAATTTTATCATAAATGCAACAAGTAGCGAACTTTTCATACATGAATTCAAATTAAGAATACCGTTTGTAATTTCCGTGCGCAAGCCACTTTTAGGGGAGCAAAAGTTGACCACCCACCTGGATAGCAAAATTTACTATTTTCAAAATTTTTCATATTTTCCATAATTTAAGAACTCAGGCAATCCATATATAGCAAAAATTACATTTCATGAACAGAATTGTGGAATTGAGAGCAATTTCAAAATTGTCTTACTTTTTTTGATACACCCTGTATAATGCATCCTACAAGTTTGATTCTTGCTGAAAGACAGGGAGATGTTATGCCTTGAAGGTACAAAGAAATATGTATGTGTATTTGAATATATAAAAATATTATAAATAAGTATTTTATATTATATAATTATAAGTATTGTATAGTATGCTATATTATATGTTATGCTATATTTTACTATTTTATATAATATATTATGGATATTTTACTTTGCAAATCATGTGTAATAATCCATATTTATATGTTCTCTAATTATATTATGTTATTTATGACCTGGGAAGTGATTGAAGCCAAAAAATACTATCCAACCCCCATTTACCCATTCTTGGCCCCAACACCTTCTTTGACAAATGTCGCCAAACGTCCGGATAACTTTGAATTTTCAGAAAAAATTTTTCGCAGTCATGACGGCAGATGAAAAATATTAAAAGTCATGAGAGTACAGGCAAATCGGATCATTTGTTCAGGAATGACGGATAAATATTTATAGGGGTGCGCTCACTGTGCGCACCCCCGGTACAAATAGGGTTAAAATATAAGTTCACTAGATAGTATTGTTCATAAAATGTATTTTCGATTTTTTTTTAAAGATTGGTAGTGATGTTATTTTTGTCAAGCTAGCATCAATATTATTTCAAACATCCACTCCTTTCACTGAGAGTGAGGGCTTAGTATAATTAGTTGTATTGTAATGCATATCGGAGGAAGTTTATTACCAATTTTTTATTATAAAACAAGTTTATATTATGCATGGAATTCCTTGCAAACGAATTCAGAGCAAACGTGACCACTCTTGCAGATTCATATTGAGTTGATTCGATCGCACTCACTGAGGGAGCAATTGTCCCAAAGAACTTCAGTGTATTCTAAAATAGGCCTTATAAGTGATTTGTACAGATTGTCTAAAGCCGCTCTACCTATTCTAAATTTCAAACCTTTCAAAAGGTTTAGTCTTTTTTATGCTTTTCATAAATATTAAACACATGCGTCATCCACGAAGGACTAGAAGAAAGGGTGACTCCTAAATTTTTATGATTACTGACAGACCCAATGATTTGTTTATCGCATTTTAATTAACTGTGGCCATAATGTAAAACTTTTGAACGTTTGACAGAAAAACCTTAGACTTATATTAGTTTTATCAGAATTATGGCTACAATCCATTCTTGAGTGCATATGTTTATAAGCTCATGCAAGATCGTCATTTAGTTTTGCCGCACTGATGTCAGGATCATCGACTACTTCAAGTAAGAATGTATCGTCAGCATAAAGAAAATAACTGCTCTTAACACAGATCCTTATTGGGGTACACCTGCTCTAATATAGTCAGATGACTGGCCGCCAATAAATATGCGTTGTTTTCTCCCAGTTAAGTATCTTTTAATAAAGGATCTCGAACGCCAAGAAGTTTAAGCTTGTATAGGAGAACTTTATGCCAAACCTTATCAAGAGCTTTACTGAAGCAGAAACTTGAACATTGATACCAAGAACATTTTTCATTTATTTTGTCCTTTTTGTTACAATATGGCCTTGTTAAGGTCAGACTTTGGGACAAAATTCGATGCTCAGAACGCTGGAAATGGCATTTCCGGGGCTCTGATTTCTAAAAATTTTTGGGGAAAGGGGAGGGGGGAGGCCTCCGGACACCCCTAGTTATGCTAGACCGAGGAACATGCTACAGCTAGATTTAAGGTTAAATGCCATGCATAAAACCTGGTTTCCATATGACGCCATCAAGCAGCCGACTTATTGTCGGTAATCATTAAAGGAGAAAATGATTTCAGATACACAATGGATTTTACTCATGAGTATAATCACCGACAATGGAATTTGCCGATTGTCTGCGTCATATGGAAACCAGGCTTAAGACAACTTTCTTTGACTCATGTGAAACCAGATTTTAACCCATTTCACCAAATTTTTTTAGAAATCTGATTCCCGGAAATGCCATTTCCCGGGTTCTGAGCGTCGGATTCTGTCCCAAAATCTGGCCCTAACAAGGCCATAATGTAACAATAAAGGCAAAATAACTTTAAAATGTTGTTGGTATCAATAATCAAGTTTTGGCTTCAGTAAGGTTTTTGATAAGGTTTGGCATATTGGTCTCCTATATTAACTTGAACGTCTTGGCCTTCGAGACCCATATTAAAATATACTTAAATGGGATAAAACAACGCTGCATAATTATTGACGGCCAGTCATCTGACTATATTAGAGAAGGTGTACGCCAATCAGCTCAGGCTCTGTGTTAAGTCGCATGTTTGATTTTTAAAACTAAATCAGTGATATTACTGCTGTCGACCTTCAAAGCAGTTATTTTCTTTATGCTGACGATACATCCTTACTTGAAGTAGTCGATGTTCCTGACGTCAGTGCGGAAAAGCTAAATGATGACCTTGAGCTTATAAACACATACACTCAAGGATGGCTTGTAACCATAAATTCTGATAAAACTAAGTCTATGTTTTTTTTTTGCCAAACGTCAAAAGCCTTTACATCCACAGATAAAATACAACAATCACATCATTCGATCCGTTAGTAATCATAATAATTTAGGAGTTACCCTTTCTTCTAGTCCCTCGTGATAACGCATATGTGTTTAGTATTCATGAAAAAACATAAAAAAGTCAAAACCTTTTAAAGGGTTTGAAATTTAGAATAGATAGAGCAGTTTTAGACAATCTGTACACGGCACTTAATTCCCGAGCCAACGGCGAGGAGCGCCGTGCGAGGGAACTAATACCGCCCGACTATTTACCACCGCGGAAAGGAAAGCATTAGCGAAGTCTAAAGTTCATCAATAATCTCGGGCATGGGTCACTGTCGGTTTTTCGGTGGGTTGCCATCCTCAATGACCTCATACTATAGCGGACTGTCATGAATAGCCAAAAAAAATTCGTAGCCGTTAATTTCTTTTCTTTTTAATTTCATTCAATTTCAAATTCTGTAAAGTTCTGATAATTGTATTATCAATAAAAGAAAGAGGAGCATTTAGGGCAAATCAGTTTCTAATTATTTAGTAAAACAAGCGTTTATAATGAAGGAAGCGTTCATGTAAACAAATATCATGCTTCAGAATAAATATCAAGCTTCAGGAAGTGCAGTCAAATGACAGCATGATGGTTTGATCAATTCAGTAGCACTGGAGATTGCAAAATCGCTGTAAGCCTTGTAGTTTCCTTGCATCGGCAAACCACAGTCGTTTGCGAAACGTTTGATCTCATTGGAACCAAGAACTTTATTCCAAATATTGACTTCGGTCAAGATACCCTTGTAGGAATCTGCGGTTTGGAAACCACCTCCCAAAGAATCCTGGTCTTGACCAATCACCCATATTCCACCAGCTTTAAATTTTTCGCCAGTCTTGATGTTATCCATTGTTGTGACCAAAGCACCGTCCTTGAACACTTTAAATTGGCCGCCCGATGACTTCCATGTGACACAAACGTGATGAAGTTTTCCGTCAGCAAGGTGCACGTCAGTACTATTAAAAACAAAAAGAGCGCTGCAAGAAATACACACTTTTTTTGTTTAAACACCCTTATGAAAGCGCTGATACACGTATATTAATTAACATAGGCGTTAGCATGTGGGGGATGGGGGGGGGGGAGGCAAACGTGGAATAAGAGTGTTATTAAAATAGCTTCTAAGTAGAGTACCATTAAAGTTTTAAATTTAAATTTTATGAGCGCTGCTTTATTTATTTATACAGGATTGAGTTTGGGGAATTTCTGTCGCTAATTCGATGCAAAGCCTGCTCTATTATGTTTGCAGTAATGCAGCAATTCATTGATCTCGAGTCTCGACAATCATTAAAATGCTATTTACGATTGCCATATTCAAACTTTGGCGTAAGCAGCCCGACGAGTCAGTCCCGATATGCGAATATTGCCATGTTTATATCAACACAATCAAGTTCTAAAAAAGGAATAATGGTAAGGAGTTGAATTTTGTATAGCGGGACGAAATCGTCGGTATCAACCAATGCATGTCAAAGTTCGATTATAGTCAGTTAGACGTCAGATATCTGCACAGCGTTAACATTGGTCGATTTTACTAGCTAATATTAATGAGCATCGGAATATTATGAAGTGAAGGTTTGGTCGAAGGTATTATGGCGAATATTGGCAAAATTTCCCTGACTTTTATGATTACTTCAAACAAAATAACGATGTACACAACTAATATGCGAAATTCTGCCAAGTTACGAGTGAGCTATAAAAGAGCAAACTACAGTAAATATACTGTATTTAACGAAAGGAATTTATACACGAAAGTGTCTTGATGACGAAACCAAAAATATAAAACATTTTCTTTTAAGTGAAAAGCAAAATCCCATTACTTATTATCTAATTAATGCATGTGAATAAAAAGTCTTAGCATTAGCCTTAGGAACATTGAAGATAGAAATGTACTATAATTTTATATCTTAGTAAATTTTCTTCATTCAACTTGTTGTAAATAGTTTCTCCTCGTACATAATTTTCAGCATGAGCTTCACTTTTGTATTTAGTATATGTGTAAATTGTTAAACACGTCAGGAATTTATAAATGTGATAAATTCGCGGCAAATTTTGAGATCTTCTGAAATAGTTAAACAAGTAAAAAGAGTTAACAAAAGAAAAGAAAAATGTTAAAAAAAGTTAGATTTTCAAAAAAAGTTTTGGAAAAGTTAGATTAGATTTGACATATTTAAACAAAACTACTGATTAGTTTCTAAAAAACGTTAGATTTTCAAAAAAAGTTTAAAAAGTTAGATTAGGGTAAGGGGTAAGGGGTTAGGGTTAGGAGTTAGGCTAGGGTTAGTGTTGGGGCAACCTCGTTCCCAGGGCTTCAGTGTGAGAACGAGGCGAGACACGAGGAAGCCCTGGTCCGGGCCGGTTAATTTTGCATTCTGATTGGCTAACACCATATTGTCTAAAAATAACTGAACTTGACAGTTGACAATAACAATTCAACATTTGTATTTTTATGATTCTTGTGTGTCCGAGTATGTTTTGCAAAATAATCTTTCAAAGTAAGACGTTTTCTTTCAGACAGTGCGTTTTCCCGACTCCATGATTTACTTTCGCCTCGGCCGGTTACAAAACTCAAAAGCCGTGTCGAAGTGAGCTGTGATGTTTCCTGACAAAACAAGAAACGTCTACTATTATTTAAGCTGTAGTTCTCCTTGTACAGTATTTATTAGTGCAGATGTCTGATGAAATACTACGCGTATTGCATTGTAGTAATATTTTAATTTACAATATTTTGTACTGACAAATAAAAGCCAGACAAACAATTAAATGAAGCTACTAAATAATTAATTTAGGCCCTGTTTACTTAATAGCTCTGCGCCTAGGCCGATGTAGTCTCTACAAGATTCACACGCCACCCAGTTTTTCAGTTTCAGAATACCCCGAATACTTGAAAATTGCGACTATACGATAAAATAAAACAAAGATTGTGAAGGGGATAAAATTTGTAGGCAAGCATTGCTCCTGAACGGCAAGTGTTGGTGTCCGGCGAAACAAGCGAACCGTATATTCCTGTACAGCGTAAACAGGTTACGCGAGGTTTTATATTTGTGTTTATTTAATATATTGAACTAAGTCAGATCTATAAGAGCATATTTAAACTAAATATTAATTATAGCAACAGCCATATTGTTCAAGACGAGAGAAAGGAAATTTCGTGTGAATCACCACTTGCATGGAGACGCCTAGATGCAGCTTGGATGCAGAGCTTTGCCTGTAGTTGAAAATCTCCAGAAATATCGGTATATCTTAGAAAACATAGACGGGATCTTCGTAGATTTTAGCTGATTCGTGTCAAACTTCGCTCTACACATAAATAATATCGATTGAGAAGTCTTTTGGCTATTTATTTGTTTCGAAGACTTGTATATTTCATTAAAGAATATCTCGCCACTCTTTGACGAGGAGCTGTCAAATACTGCCAGTTTTTGACGTCACGTGACCGGCCCGGACCAGGGCTTCCTCGTGTCTCGCCTCGTCCTCACACTGAAGCCCTGGGAACGAGGTTTATATATATATATATATATATATATATATATATATATATATATATATATATATATATATATATATATATATATATATATATATATATATATAATAGTATTTATAAAATTACTACAGTGAAACGACGCTTATCTTGATTAAAATTACTGATGAAATGTGCAGTTCTCACAACATTCGTGAATTAACCAATCAGAGAATCGCTACTCCACGCTATTGAAAACAACAACATAAGTGAACAGAATTTGATCGCAGATTCGCGAAAATATACAGCGAAAATACAGCGACTTTTTCGATAAAATATACGAAATTTGAAATGGAAAACCTTCTAAACAGAGAGCCAAAGTAGTTTTGAAGATTCTCGACCTGAATATGTGAAGATTGCGAGGCGTTTGATCAACTTTGAAGCAAGAGATGTTGTACTTGCATGCCATGGTCTAATGAATTTCAACGCTACACGTTGCTATACTTGCTGAATAGCAATGTATCGATCAGAAATTTATTCATACAACTAAACCAACGTCTCAATAATTGGAAACTTACTTCAAAGTCGAAAGGTATCGTACAATGAAACTTTACAATGTGAGTATATTTGTAAAATTATGTGCAAGAATTTCTGTTCAGAATT